GTCAACATTAAACCCGAATCTAATTACATTTTAACATCAAGACAAGATATATAAAATTTTATGGTCAACTATTTTGTAGCGTTAGAAATATGTTTTAAAAATATATAGAGTTATTGCGTACTTGTGAATGATGCCAACAACTAAACGACGTATATACATAATAAATTGTATGTCAACTTTTATATAAACAAATTGGGAATATTATAAATATATTAGTGACCGGTGTTCTATAAAATTATATACAAGAAGGATGATAATCCAATTTAAGGCCATTTTTCGACTTGACAAACGAAGCTTGGTCAACATAGATAAGGCAATTCAACATTTTGGGCTAATAAAATAAAAATGTGATTTTTGTTTTGATTTTTATCAAATGGGTAAGTAACCAGCTGGATTAAGATTTAGACGAACCAACAACTATACATTCTATATAGATATTTTCTTCTTGAAAGTTGACTATTTTGGTTAGGCGTCAAAAGTTATATAACTAATCTTGACAATTTTTGATGCTGATGAAATGGACGTAAAACGAAGTTAATATAATCACCGTTGTTAATGATTTGGATTAATTTAGTGAAATTATGCTTTGATATTTAAATACTTAAATTCAAACTAGCGTTTGAGTAAAATATATTCGACTGATTCGAGAAACACACTGAAAAAATAGTATCAAATATTTAGTATTTTATTTGTTAAAAATAACTATAACACAGAGAAATCATAATATTGAGAATATGTGAATTGTGAATTTGCGAATGGTTTGGTCGTTTTTGGTTTCGGGTTTTACCTAAAACATTTTCTCGGTTTATTGTTAGATTAGAGTTCTCTTTCTATCGGAGGATTTCGTCCAGTAATGACATTATATATTTAACAACTAGTTATATATGTGTGCGTGAATCTCTTAAGTTCAATTTTGTTTTATATAAAAAGTCACTAATTAGATAAGGTAATTTAGGTAAATGCAAAACAAAGTTTGGTGATTCAAAGTCCAAGCCACCATGGAAAAAAAATGCAACAAACAAGAATCAATGCAATTTAATTGTTAATTTGTAATATCCGACGTCTGTGTTAAACTAGCTTCATAAGCTGAACCCTTTTTTTTTTTCTATCTCCTCTTTAGAGATAATATTTTTTTGTGTTGTCTAATGAGATAATATATTCATATCAAATACTTACAAGTTACGTGTCGCGGATCTATTTTATTTA